ACCTTGAGGACAATATTTCACATATACAGGACTATTTTCTTTCCTGTAAACTGGAGGGACAATGCCATAAGCCCCTTGTGTGACTGCCTGGCCTAAAGTAAGCACCCGTACATGTGAACATTTCTTCCCTTTTCTTATACCTGGTTAGAGAAGAGTTAAAATGTATCTCAGCAGTCCTGATAGGAAAAGTGATGAAGAAAGCTCTTTAATGCCACAACTATGTGTCATCCTTGTCTAGGAGCATAAATTTGCACAGCGGGCAGTGCAGTGAAAACAGCTCATAATCAACTCATCACCTCTCATCATTGCTAGGATCAAATGCAAATGGGAAAGAATGCCACTTCAGTCATTGCTAGTGAAAATTAGCATCTGTGACACTAATGGTGTCTCATTTAGTATGTACTTTAGATTTAAAAATATGGTAAAAAAAAAAAAAGCTATTTCCAGAACTGCCATTATTCCAGTGTTTCCCTTTAAAATAACAGTGGTATTTGAATCTCCTTTATTTGAAAAAAAAAAAAAATCCTGTTAAAATTTATTAACACAGATCATTAATCCCAGCCGAATAAAGGCCAAGTTCTTCTAATTACAGTTGCAAAGTTTCATTTATCTATTCTTTTTCTATTTTCGAAGTTTCTGCCGTAATCCCTGACCTGGAACAAAGGTCTATGGTTATGTAAAGGTCGGCCTCTCCAGAGAATCTTGTAAAACATTTGCTACCTTAGGGTCCTTAAAATAAAACTTGGAAATGAATTACAGTTGCATTTATACGTATACATATAAACTTATGGACACACTCAGACTTAGTACCAAAGGAAATGAAAGTGCACTGCGTTCGTGGGTATCCATACTTGAACCAGGATACACAGAGTAGATGCAAGAAAATCCATTCACTCTACACATGTTTGTTAGGGGCCTACTACACTGATGGTGGTATGTTGAGGGCAGGAGGGCGATTTGTGGTTAACTTAATCTCATTATTAGGTCATGATTTTTTTTGACAATTTGAACATTAGAAAAATTTAAAAGTTGTTATTATTTTACATGTGTAAGTTTTGAAGCTTGAGTGGACACCGGGAGGGATTTTGCTGGTGGAATTCTTCTATCTAATCAGAGATAGGAATGGAGGATTTCCAAATTCCTTTCCAGCTTATGGAGGCTCTTGAACATATGTTCTTCCTGGTTTCCATAAAATATATTTGGTAATTAAGACAGAAATAGGAGTCATATCTACAGTTCCTATGCTAGTAATGGCAGCATAATAATTAAGAACAGGAGTACTGGAAACTGACATATATATTCCACATCACACAATTTTATTTTTCATCTGACTGTCTCTGCTCAAGTTAATTAATCTTCTCTATGTCTTCTCATCTGTGCAGCTATGTAAGAGTGATTCACAGAGTTGCTAGAAATATTAAATACTAGGGACACCTGAGTGGCTCAGTAAGTTAAGCATCTGCCTTCGGCTCATGCCATGATCTCAGGGTCCTGGGATCAAACCCTGCATTGGGCTCCCTGCTCAGAGGGGAGTCTGCTTCTCCCTCTGCCCCTCCCCTGTTCATGCTCTCTTTCTCTCAAATAAATAAGTAAAATCTTGAAAAAAAAATTAAATATTAAATAATGTATAAAAAACTCACAATAAATATAGAAACATAAAACATTTCAGCTGGAAAAACAGTCACGGAAAATCATGTTCTATAATTTAAGCATTTATAGAGTGTAGTGAGATTATATCTTATCAATTCTGAATCCTAGATACGCTTAAAATTTTTTAAAATTACTATCAGCAGTGGGAAGTAGTGATGAGAAAGCAAAAACAAACTTCAAAAACCAAAGTACAGAACCTTGTATGTATGTTAAGCAAGGCTATTTTTGAGTGATTAATCTAAATGTAGAATTCTTAGCTATTATTAATCAAATTTCTTTATTAATTTGGAATTTAGCTATATACACCATAGAGAGTTCTGAGACACAAATGAAACTTTCTAGAATTTGTTAACATTCCAATATACATAGTGGGGTTTTCTGGTAATAATTCTCCAAAGCCCTCCCAGTTTTCCTTATAGAATATCTCTGGTCTTACTCCCTTAACCTACCCTATGAATCCCTTATAACAGATATGAATACTATTGGTCCTATTATAAAATTAAAGACAGTAAAACCATATCTTAACATGTGTTTTCATTATTTTTCTGAGTTGCAGACATGTCTATTGATAAGACTTGTGAATTTAAGAAAATAATAAATCATTTTGTATATAGGCTCATAAAATCTATTGCTATATTTTATATCCATGAATGTTTTGAATTTTCTCACAATTGTGGGACCTACTTAAAAATACTCATAACAAAGTCCGTCTCCATTGATTTCCTTTTCAAATGAACAGTTCCATAATTTTTATCTGAGGCAACATTAGGTATAATATGCATTCACCCTTCGAATTGGGTACTAGGTCACCTGAACTATAATTAGCACAGGAGTTAACACAAACTAGATGGTTCAGTAATGGTTTTCTCATTTTTAATGCTGTTGTTCTTTACCTACTGTAGCGTTCCCAATAAAAGACAAGAAAATCTCTCTCAGATATTCTGAAAGAGTATAGTGCAAGGAGTATGTCTTTCTGGGTCAGGAGATGTGAAATACTGTTTGGTCCCATAGTTAATCAGCATAGACTGTGTTATTCCCCATAATTCAGGCTGATTTCTTGATGGTTCTATTCCATCTTTCTAGACACAGGCCATATGATCCCTTCCAGTAGATGAAGGAATTTGCACTCTTCATTCCACTGGCCATTTATTTGTAGAGATCGTCATGACACGCAGATCTTTCAACTTTTAGGGATTCTGCAGTTTTTCCATAAAATTCACAAAGAAAATTACCCAATAAAATAAGTAAATGTGAATAGAAGATGATTTGTTTCTAAGACATAATTATAATGGTTAGAAAAGGAAAGGAAATATATATATATAAAGAAAGACCTTTGTGGACATGGAATATCCAAAAAACACACTTGTACATATGCACTCACATATTTCTTCAAATTCATGGAGAGTGAAACCACTCATCTAAGGAAAATGGGACTTCATTCACAACAAAAGTTATTCACAACAAAAGTTAATATGTCCCAATATGACTATTCTCTGTGATGTATTTTATTCTCAGATAGGTGTTATCAAATATATTTTTATTTAAAGGAATAAAGAAGTCAAAAAGATTAACAACACTCCACTTACATTTCAATGGTTCCTGCAATTAAGGCAAATGATGATGATAGACTACAGTATTATTTTGAAAATAGTTCAATGACATAAATATGATAGTAACTCACTACATAATGCAGTCCTTGTGAAATACTTTCACTTCAGATTTTAAGTACTTAAAGGAAAACCTCTGTTTCTTTTCTTTCTTTTTTTTTTTTTTAAGATTTTATTTATTTATTTGACAGGGATCACAAGTAGGCAGAGAGGCAGGCAGAGAGAGAGGAGGAAGCAGGCTCCCCGCCAAGCAGGGAGCCCGATGCGGGGCTCGATCCCAGGACCCTGGGATCATGACCTGAGCCAAAGGCAGAGGCTTTAACCCACTGAGCCACCCAGGCACCCCAAACCTCTGTTTCATATTAACTTTTACGATCTTCCTAAAACCTACTATTGTCAACTCAATATTAGTTACATTTAATTTAGTAAATTCTATATAAAATTAACCTTAAGTATAGAAGTGATGGTATTAGAAATTTTTCTTTCTCTTTGAGGAACATTGCTGTGAGTTTTTATTGTATTAGGGAAAAAAACTGAAATCATGATACATTACCCAGTTGTATTTTTAAGTAAAGATGCTTGACTTAGTTTTTAAAGATTGGAAATCTTTTATTTTTTAGTTTCCTTCAGACAGGTTGTAGAGTAACTTGCAAAGACTTATAAAATATTGACCATTGTTCAATGCCACATCAATTTAGAAGTTCACAATCAATTCCCAACTCCTTTCTCTCAGAAAGGGTGCCAAACAAATAAAGACCAATAATAGATAATAAGTCAGTCCTCTAAAAAGACATCTGACCTCAGCTATGGTTCGTTCACAAATGGATTAAAAATATTATTTATCTGGGGAACTCAAGAAATGTATACGTATTGGCAAAAACCTTTGAACCCAGTATTTCATAGCTTCTCTCATGTTATTAATGAAACCAATTTAGAGTTCTACAATAGAATCTAAACTTTGTTATCTCATGCTGTACTTTTTTTTTTAAAGCGGTGCTTATTGTCAAGACAAGAACAGCATAACATTCCAAATAGAACCAATTTGATAAATCTATCAATATATGGGGTTTTGATGCTTCTTAAAAATATAACCCAATCCTCTCTCTATTAAAGTGTTAGTTCAAGTGAGAGTAGGAAAAATAATCTTTTCAACAAACTATCATATTTTAATACAAAAAAAAAACAAAAAAGCAAATATTTTAGCCAAAACATCTCTATTTCACAATCTTCTCATAATTAAAAGTATTATGAGAGCTGAACATGTGAGGGATAAAATTCATTCAGTTAAATAGACATTGACAACTTTATGGTCATTAAAAATGTTCAAGACTATTTCATAATATCAACCTTCCAGAGACCACCAAATTGATTTCCATGAAGTTGGATCTGAGCTCCAACTTTACTTTAACTTGAGTTACAAATGTAAATGATCAAATATGCACCATAAAATAAAATTACAGAGACAGTAATTGTCAGGTATTATTTAACAGGTATTATTTAAATTTGCAATTCAACATTTTTCTTTTCTTTTCTTTCTTTCTTTTTTTTTTTTTTTCTGGCAGTTCAACATTTTTCATGCTTGCCATGAGGCATTCACCCTAGGGTTGAATTGATTTACGACTAACAAGAGAAGAACAATGTGTGTGGTTGTGTGTGTGTATGTGTGTGTGCGTGCGCGCGCGCGCGCCCGTGTGTGTATTCTTTTAAATGGTTTTATTTTGTTTGTGTATGAAATTACCTTACCTTTGGTTTTTGATGTTTCTCCTTCTCTGAAACATTGGATGGTTTTCTCTTCAGCATTTTGAATTCACACTACTCCAAGCAAGTATGCTTTCTGTTGTTACAGAAACAACTGAAGGCTGTCAGCACTGTGCCGTCAATGATGTATAGCAGATAAGTTTGAGCTCAGTGACCTGCCACTTCCTCCTTTGGTCAGGATATGACTTCACATCTACATGGGTAAAGTTTTTTTTTTTTTTTTTTTTTTTTTAAACGGTAATTTTTGGTAACTCATGTTCTGTGTCTGCTATCCTCTATGAGGTAGATTCCTAAATCTTACACTTTTACATGCCTGTAGTTACCATTAAGGCCATAAGGATGCAGAATAAAGATTTTTTTTCCTTTTTTTAGTTTATATGAAAATAGAAATCTATCACACATTCTATGGATAGAGGGAGGAAAATATCTGAACCCATAAATGAAATAAAACTTGAGATGTGGGCATTTTACTATTAAAAAAATGCAGAGAATACTCAGGTTAGTCAATTTTATACTTCCAAATAAACTTTGTCATAAGACAAAATGAACTAGATTTTATAGTAAGGAGGAATACTAATCCTTAAAGCACAGATGCATATACTTAAAAAACAGAGTATGGGTGAGATTCAAATAAATATAAAGAAGAGTATGACTTCAGAATTCAATGATTATACATATTTTTACCTTTTAAACACATTAACTATGTTGTCAAGCCCTGACCAATGTGGAAAGCAATGAAACAGAACCCTGCCTTAACTGGGTGTCTTTTCTGCTGCAAAGGCAATGCCATCTACAGATAATTGTTATTCCAGTGATGAGCCAATGGATCAATGGTACCTTCAAATGAAGCATCCAGAGTCTCTATTTAATAGGCCTGGAATAGAGCTAATGTGGTTTAAAAAGACTTTTCTCATCCAACTGAAGGGTTTAACATTTTTATTATAATGTCAAAACCAAGACACCCAGAAAGTAAAAGCAAAGAGTTCAAGCTTTCTTGTTAATAAGGGATTTACCAAAGGGAGACTTGTGGAGCATCTAAAATTCCATCTCTATTAAAACAGGCTTGTTAAGAAAATCAACCCAGATTTTCATTTATCAAACCCCTGGGTTGAAAAGCAGTGGTGCCATATTCTTAACGAGCAGCTTCTCTAGGTCAAAACCAGCTGACTTAATTTCTCAGTCTTTCCTCATACCTCAGAGCCGTTCCTCCCTGAGGCCCAGTTCTAAGTGTTCAAATTTCACTAATCATTTAATGAATATTAAATTACATGTTGTGTACTGTTTGACAGTATATCATGCCTCTTGACTAGCTTAAAAATTGTTTATGCTCTATAATAGAATTAAAGACATACACTTAAGATTCTGGCTAATATGCTTCTTCTACTACATATTAAGAGCAATTATATTTTTAGGAATGATCACTCCGGTATTTTCAAAATAACACTGAGGACTCTGAGGTTGGGTAATTCCCTAGAAGCATGGCTTAGGTTCAGGCAGTGACCTAAGTATATCTTAGTTTCATCTTTTCAGGAATTGAAAGTCATGAAAAAAAATGTACTTCTTAACAGAAACATTTGCACCCTCATGCCCCCTCCTTTACCTGTAAATAGAAATTTAATTCAATTGTGGAGTTTAATTGACAACAGGAGAATGATAGTACCTGCACTTACTACAGTCATAGAGTTTTAGGGACAATAAAAGGAATTATCAGTAAAGAGCATACTTATTATATGACTTTAGCATTTATAGAATGTCTAATGACAAGAATTTTTGGGGGATCTTAAAAAAGTCGGAGATTTCAAATATTTAGGTTGGGGTGGTGTTTGCTATAAGTTATACTTCTACAATGACAACTAAGGAATAGAGAACACTCACATTCATGAGGACATACATGGACTAGACTATCTACAGTTTTCAAAAGTGTTAACACTTGAGCAATTCGTCCAAAATCACAATTTATGAGTTCTAGGCTCTAGGCACTTTACCATCACTAACACTTTAAAAAATATTTTATTTTCTTATTTTTTTTATTTTTTAAAGATTTTATTTAATTATTTGACAGAGACAGAGAGAGAGAGCACACAAGCAGGGAGAGTGGAAGAGGGAGAAGCAGGCTTCCAGTTGATCAGGGAACCCAAAGCGGAACTCGATCCCAGGACCCCGAGATCATGATCTGAGATGAAGGCAGTCCCTTAACTAACTGAGACACCCAGTCGCTCAAGAAATACTTTAAAATATAAGTAAAACTGAAATCTTTTCCTTCAGAATCACAGATGGGAGAAGCAATTTTCTAACCTTCTCTACTACTCAGGAAAAAAATATTTTCTGGAGATATTCAAAGACATTTGAAGTCCTGTCACAATCTATGTTAAACGACCTAGTCCTCAAAAATCTCAGGTGGTAAGGTAGCACATGTTTTCTCTGTCTGTCTGTCTGTCTCTCTCTCTCTCTCTTGCTCTCTTTTTTTTTTTTTAAGTCAGTTATCTACTATGTTATGGAATTCTGGGGCCACGAGGATACTTAACGAGTGACCAGAATAACCCAGCAAACTAAAAAGTCAAAGGTAGGACAAGAATGGGGTCAAGATTATTGAACACACCTAACTTCCTATCATGATTAAACCACTAACCCACATGTTGCTTAAGACTTTTTCTGAAGCAGGAAAATTGCAAAACAGCAGTCCGGGTGCTTTGTTTTCACAAATTACCTTAATGGCCCTAGAACCCCAGCATGGTGAAACAAGGCTGGGACTTTGTGGCATATGTACTGGTCACTATTTCTGCGTCATAGAGGCTGAGTCAAAATTTTAAAGAAATTGCAATCAAATAACAGCCTCTGGGGTGTATTTTATGGGAAAATGAAGAGGCCATAGAAGATTATTTTAGCAGTTTAACAAATATTTGTTAGTGGATTGCTAATAAGTGAATTATCAAATTCAAATCAGAAAAGTATAAGTAAAAGAAAATGGGGTCTGATGTCTTTGATTCTGGTATCTTGATTGTTGGAAGACCTCCTTTGCTTCCTGCCATTAGGTTGAAGACTGAAATTAGTAATGTTTGGATTAATCCTACTCTATACTTTAGACACATATGTCCAAAGGAAGGAGGGTTTTCAAGTCACATCTTTTAAAATGGGACTATGATCCCCACATTAACCTTAATCTGTACACCTCCAACATTTGGACTTGGTCACAGTAAATCTAATGTTTCATGTATTACTGGGGTGACCATGACCAAAAGCTGTTTGAGTAACTATAACCTAAAATACAAAGAAACAGCTTCCAAGAACTTGAAAAATAAGAGAAATAAGATTGTAATCATGGAGTGCAACTCTGAAATTAACATTTAATGTAAGATAGATTATCTTACAGAAAAGAATGGATTATATTCCATTTAGAACTACAGAATGTAGTCACTTGTGATAAAGAAAAGAAGGAGTCAATCATAAAAACAACTTAAACTTGACAGTTCTGTTTTTCTTTCTGGCTCCACAGAGCAGGTTTTTCTCTACAGAATGGGGAAGGGAAATTTATAGAAAGAAGCTCAGTGGGGCTGCTGTGTCCTTGCCTGTTTATAGTTGTTGGAAGTGGAGATCCTACACTATCATACAAATCTTAACTATACTCAAGATTTCTAGAAGCAGATACACATATTGATCTGGAGTTCTTGTTCTTTACTCAATAGTTCAGTTGGGAGTTTCAAAGTCATTTGGCCGTATGCAACATATGAGGTGTACCCTCTACATATCTAGCTTACTCTTACAAAATGATGGATAAAACACCTCCTTGTTTAGACTTGAGGGTTTATGGAGAAATGGTGGTATGGACATTCCACCAGACTTACAGTGGGGATGAAGGTGGTGGAGTGGAAAAGAAATGGTGAATTCTCTGTGAATCTCTTACATTTCCTAGCTCTCTGATATGATTTACCCATTCTGTCTCTGGAGTCCCTATTTACTGACCCTTTTCCATAAAGGACCCACTCCCTTTCCTAAGCTCTTGATATTCCTTCTAATGTTTTACTAATTGAAAAGCCTTCCAGCAGCTTTTTTGCTTTGCCCAGTGACGTGCTTTACAGAATGAAGAAAAGTTTTTGAGGAGATAATTGAGAGAAAATTATGATCCTACTAACAGGAAGTATTCAGATGGGAGCTATAGAGGTTTGTTTTTCCCAACAAGGCCTGAAATTAAGCATATGTATCACGAGGATTAATTTTTTTCCAAGAAGCCATATCAGGTCTATATGAGAAATTAATATTTTATCTATTAATTTCTCTAATATGGTGCCTTGCCTGAGTTTATCAGAGTTCTCACACATTAACATGGGATCATGACCAAACCACTTAGGAAGATAGGAGGAAATCTTTTTTATTTTTTAAAAGATGTATTTATTTATTTGACAGAGATCATAAGAAGGCAGAGAGGCAGGCAGAGAGAGAGAGAGGAGAAAGCAGGCTTCCCGCCGAGCAGAGAGTCTGATGCAGGTCTCGATCCCAGGACTCTGGCATCATGACCCAAGCCAAAGGCAGAGGCTTTAACCCACTGAGCCACCCAGGGACCCCGGTAGGAGGAAATCTTAATTCATCTCGCCTCACATACGGAAAAGAGTGTAACAGAGGCAAATTCTTGGGAGAACGCAAATATTTGGGTTCAAGAAAGAGAACTTCAATGAACTTCAAGTATCTTAATTCTCTGACAAGATAATCCATCTTGTGGAGATGGATGCATCAAGCAATTTTAGCTGGATTTCAGTAAACAACATATTTGTCTAACTACTTCTCCTTATTTTATTTTGATCTTAAGCTCAGTAAGTAACCTTCTAATGATGATTTAGTTCCTTGGGTAAGTCATCTACAGGAGACAAATGCATTGTTCAAATGGACATCAAGTACCTGAAATACTGCAATTTATTTCTTACTATAAATTAATGAACTGTCATGATGGTTAATTGGAGTATATCCCAAAAAGGGATCCATTCTTGGTATCCTCAAAATATTATCCTTCTGAGATGTGTGTATGTGTGTGGGGGGGGGTGTTGGCAGGTGCTAGATATCTTGGGAAGCCTCTAGAGAGACAGAGTCTGGTGCTTTGTGATACTATTGCATATTTTAAATTTCCCACAAGATAATTGAGAACCTTATCT